GGGGGGCGGGGGACGGCTCTGTCCGAGCTGGGCTCCAATGGGGACACCGGGGGACCCTCTCCAGGGGTGTTGATGTTCAAAGGGGCTGGGGCTCTGGGTCCAGCCGTCCCTGGGTTATGGGATCTGGCGGGGGGGGGAGGGGAGCAAGACCGTAGCCTCGGGGCTCAACACGGTTCCTGCAGGGCCCGGCTGTGATTGTCTCTCTCGAGTCCCTGCTGTGCTGGCCTCAGGGACTGACCCTCCTCTCCTTTGTCCCCAGCAAATAGTCGCCCATCCTCAGGGGCAGAGCGGGCCGGCCCCATGCACGAGCACACAGCTGTCTATTTCCTCCTTTATTTCCCGTCCATGCCGCGTGCTGGGGCACCAAGGCACAGAAGTACGGACACAGACAGACAGACAGAAGGAATTGCGTGCAGGCTGGCAGGCGGCCAGGAGGCCCAGCGATCGAGTGACAAACCCGGCTAGAGAGAACCCCAGGGGGCTCGGCGGGGGCCCGGAGGGTGCCCAGCTCGGCCAGCGTTCACGGCTGTCACCCCCGAGCTCCCGGGGGCTTGAGGACTCAGCCCCCGAGCAAGACCGTCGCTCCCAGGCGAGCAGTGTGGTCAGGGACACACTGCCTCTGCTCTCTGGGCCTCAGTCTGCTCATCTGTGAAATGGGACCGGCGGTGGCAGCCCGTCCAGGGCGCGGCAGGAGAGGTGAGGCCGGTCCGGGGAGGAGGGGGGCTGGAGGGGACCGTGGTCCCCACTCAGGGCCGCAGGGCCCGCTGCAGAACACGCTCGTCCCCTACTTCGTGGGGGAGCGTCACCACCAGGCCGCTGTTCTCCCGCATGGTCTGGCGGATGATCTCGTAGGCCTTCGGGTTCCCAGCCCAGCAGCGCCGGGCCACCTGGGGAGGGAGGATGCGGCAGGCAGCGTGCCTGTCACCGGGGTCCCCATGTGACCTGACCCCATCCACGTCAGGGACCTTGGATGCTGTGCGTCTGCCCCGGCCTGGCCTCCTAGCCCGGGCCTCCCCTCTTGTCCTCCTTCGAGGGTCTGAGCCCTGCCTCCCCCTCTTCCCGGCTGCCTGTAATATGGTCTTGGGGACGTCCCCCACACCCAGAGGATGCTGCGTCACAGTAAGGGTGGGTCGTGGCGGCACAACCGAAGACCCTCCCAGCTGCACCCTCTGCCCCGCCTTCGAGGACGGGGGAGCGGGGAAGTTGAGGCAGAAGCTGCCCACCGCCAGCACGGGGGCTCCGCCAAGACGCAGGGCTGGGACTGCCCCCCGGGGGGGGGACGGAAGGAGGTGGAGGGGCGTAGGAGGGACTCACGCCGTTGCAGACGTCCCAGCCGAGCATCATCCTGGCTTTCTGCTCGGCCTCCGGGGTCCCGTCCAGCACGAGGCCGAATCCCCCGTTAATCGCCTCACCCCTGCAAGAGACAGAGGGGTTTCGGGGTCTCTCCCCGGGCCTGACCCCGCACGGAGCAGGGTTTCCGAACTGCGGGTTGCGGGGGGCTGTGCTCTGTCTGTCTCTGCAGCCCGCAGGGGGACGCAGGGCCGGAACGGGGCGTAGAGTAGCCACCTGCCGGCTCCTCTATTTTCAATCTTTCTTGTTTTCTAATTATCGCGTTTCTCTGTGCAGCGTTTTGATAGCCTCTAACGGGTTGCGACGTGTTCTTGTTTTCATTTCGTTTTTTTTTTTTGAGACAGAGTCTGGCTCTGTCGCCCGGGCTAGAGTGTCGTGGCGTCAGCCTCGCTCACAGCAACCTCCAACTCCTGGGCTCAAGCGATCGTCCTGCCTCGGCCTCCCAGAGTGCTGAGACTACAGGCATGCACCACCACGCCCGGCTAATTTTTTCTATATATCTTTAGTTGCCCAGCTAATTTCTTTCTATTTTTAGTAGAGACGGGGTCTCACTATGTTGCCCAGGCTGGTCTCGAACTCCTGACCTCGAGCGATCCTCCCGCCTCGGCCTCCTGAGTAGCTGGAACTACAGGCATGCACCACCGTGCCCGGTTAA